CTATAACATTGGTTCATTTTTTAAAAAATATTCTTTGGTTTCTAATCCATTTCCTGGCTCAAAGCACTAATTTTGACATAAAGTCCTGCATAGCTTGGTAACTAGATACGTACCTAAAGGATTGCATCTTCTCATAGGTCCTAGGATTCTAAGACCATCTATAAGAGCTGTTCCCTGGGGGCTTCTCCATACAACCTGTTTATTGAACATTCATCCTGATTTACTTGCACAAAGCTTATGGGGAGGTTAGAGTATGCCCAGTTTGATTTGTTGGCGGGGTTATACAACAGTAAGCATCAGAGGCACCAACTTGTGCCTAAGATTGAAGGGTCCCAAGGTGTGTTGCACATGTGATGTCATATGTGCAGCATGCAGCGCACATTTGTGACATCAAGTGCCTAGCGTGTGCTGTGCGTGTGTGACATCATGTGTGTGATGTGCAGCAGGCATGTGACATGGCTTCAGCAGCTGGTGGCTCCTCTCACACTCAGGAAGAGCCAGCCGCTGAAGCCATGCCACACTTAGCTCTGCATTTGGCCTCTTCTGCCCCCTCAACATTGAGTGGGCCCGCCCCCTCCCAACAGGGGGCGGCAAAAACACCTTGGCTCCATAGAGCTGGTCCTCCCGGTGAACATTCATCCTGATTCACTTGCAAAGTGCTTATATACCTTCCTGCTATTGTTTTGTTCATTCCACACTTTTCTATGCATTTCTCTGTCACTTTTCTAACCACAAGAATTCTCTTTTTAAAAGTGGATTTGTTGGACGAGGGTGACAGAGCACTTTAAGTGTACAAAGCTAAGTTAATGATACACATGTGAAACCTTCCCACAAAATAATGACAGACTGGGGGCACTTTGCGTGTCCCCTCAAGCTCAAGTCCAGAGGGTGGCTGCATGATAGGACCTAACATTGCTTTATCTTTCTGTTTCGTAACTGCTCTCTATTCTTTAACTCAGAGAACCCAATTTATGCAACAACTTGGAAACACAATCAATCAATCAAATATCTCAGTCTGTCAAAAATTATTTGAGCAAATCCATTTACTGACAGTGATGGGGGATTAGGGCTGGAAAAGGCATTGTATTGGGGTGTGGACCTCTAGGGGAATGCATTTCCCAATGGTAATGGGCAGTAAACCACATCATAGGGAGAGTGACTTCAAAGATATTGTGCAGATCAAAGAAGAAAGTGGGAGGAATTATGTTTTATAACAGGAAAAATATTGCTAACAGTTGCTAGCGATGTACAACACTTACATATTTTTAAAAAGAGAGCAGACGATGGGTCCAGGATGAAAAGGAGGCTAATCCAATGGGGTTTGCTCCATCAGGGCAGTGTTTCCAAAAGTGGGTGATACCACCCCCTGGGGGTGCTGGAATTATCCAAGGGGGCAGTAGTAGCCTAGGGTGCAATGGGGGGTGTTGAATAAAAATTAGGGGTCAGTGGAAGTAAAAAGAAAGAAGAAAAGAAAAGAATATTTTGAAAGATCAAAATTTAATGATTATTTAGCTAAATTTGTTAAGTTAAACTAATTTGAAATAGCCTGCAGGCAACAGATTGGCTTAGGAATTTATATAAGTTAAGTGATGTTTAACATGTACACTTTCAAATTGAAAAGATATAAGGATATTATTGGACTAAGTTAAGTTCATAAGAATTATGATTTGGAGAGCGGTTATAAGGATATGCATGGAAATTCAACTAAGGGGAAGCGAGGAAGTCACTTAACAATGTTAATAAGTGTAATTTTAATAAGGATATGATTTATGTTTGTTTGTTTGTTTGTTTGTTTGTGTGTTTTGTTTGTGTATAATTTTGTGAGACTTAATAAAAAAAATTGGGGGAAAAAGAATATTTTGAAAAACTGTTCATACCTCTTTCATCTGTTGTGTAATGACGCTTACCGATGTAACGTAGAGTTAAAACCCGATTGGATTTTGGACCCTTTTTCAAGTGCAAACACAGAAGAATCTCCAAAATTACAAGAAGAACTGAAAGAAGTAACAACAAATGAGGAATTGAAGTTGAAATGCAAAGAAGGCTGCTGATAACTCTAGCGGAAAACCAGATACCTACATTTTATCCTAGATTATGGGCTATAGTATGAAAGTTTTTAGTTGCATTTCCTTCATCATATTTAGGGGAAACGTGGATTCATTGTGGCCACAAATCTGTTAACGAAAAAAGAAACCGACTGCAAATAGCTAATTGTGGTGATTTAAGAATGCTGCAGGGCGCAAGGTTCATCCTTCTCATTAGGATTGTTTTAAATGGTTTTCATAATTTTTATTTTAATATTATTCCTTGTTGTCTTAATTTTCTGTGTGTGATGTGAATGTTACTATGGATCTCAATAAATAATTTTATAATTTCATGCTTCAATGTGTCTTATTTACAACAACATCTTTCTTTACCATAGTAAAGATGTAAAGGTATAATGTTGTGGAGTGTAGGTGGAAATACAGACACATTAAAAAACAAAAATATGTCACTACATCTTTCTGTTTGTTCTGTTCTGTTTGTTCACTTAAAGAAGGTAGATTTCCAGGGAGGTGCTGAGTAATTCCCCCCCCCCCCGAAAAGTGTGCGGTAGGCCAAATAAGTTTGGGAACCTCTACATTAGGGGGTTGATCCATTCTAAGATATTGTGGGATGTGCAAAGACTATCCTGTGCTGCTAAATGAAAATATTCAAGGTTTTGGGAGAAAAGCTGTGGCAAAAAAAAAAGAAACTGTCTTTCAATTATATTCTGGCTATGCCTACAAACAAACAAACAAACAAACAAACAAATATCCTTTTCCTGTTCATTTATATTGTCATCTCTTGGTCTCTTTCATGTGACATTGTTTGCCCCCAACTAGGGCTGAACCAATGGGAATCAGTGTGTGGGACTTTTCCACTCCCATTTGTGACTAGCTCCGAGAAAATCTATCATCTACTTCTTAATCCTGATGACTCCCTTGGAGATTTATGCCCGCCTTCCTTGGGTGATGCTGCCATAAGGAAATAGGCACTCATCCCAAAGGTCGTTGCATTATTGTACAGTAGTACCTCGGGTTACAGACTCTTCAGGTTACAGATGCTTCAGGTTACAGATTCCGCTAACCCAGAAATAGTACCTCGGGTTAAGAACTTTATTTCAGGATGAGAACAGAAATTGCACGGTGGCAGCGTGGCTGCAGCAAAAGGCCCCATTAACCTGGTACCTCAGGTTAAGAATAGTTACTGGTTAAGAAAGGACCTCCAGAACGAAATAAGTTCTGAACTTGAGGTACCACTGTAATTGTACATGTATAAGTTATTTTTATGTTGTGACACAAATGGGTCTGCGTGTTAGCAAAAAAGGTAAAAGGGTATTGGGAAATGTTTTATAATGAATTGGAAAAATGTTTAAAATTACTTTCCCCGCCCAAAATCAGAGTCCTTTTTGTTGGGGATAACCCAGACTGAAATTCCCAGGTGTCAGGAAAGGTTATTTATGTATGCAACAACTTCAGCCCATGTTTTGTTAGCTCCAAAATGGAAAGTGAGCGAGGTTGGATATTTTAAGATTTGTAAAATGTTTATTTGAAATTGTAAAACAGAAAATGTAATAAAAATTATTATAATAGAAAGTGCAGGTAAAGCAGAAAACCACCCAGATCTGTGAATTCTAGGCATGGGACAAGTGGAAGTGTGGATGAGCCTCAGTATACAACAGCTTCCCATGTCTTAAGTTAAGGGCCATAGCTCAGTGGTGGAGCAAATGCTTTGCATGCAGAAGAACGCAGGTTCAATCCTCTGCACAGCCAGGTAGGGCTAGGAGAGTCAATTTGGAGAAGCTGCTGTCAGTCAATGAAGACAATACAAAGCTAGAGGGACCAGTCTCAGAGTAAGGCAGTTTTCTTTGGGAGGAACCATAGAAAATCTGCTTTGCATGCAGAAGATCATAACTTCAATCCTGGTATTTTCAGGCAGGGCTGAGAAAGAATGTTAATTTGAAACCCTGCAAAGCATCTGCCAGTCAGTGCTGTCAATACTGAGCTAGCTGGAACAAAGGTCTTAGTCGGCATCAAGGCAGCATCCTATGTTCCACTAACAATCACTGGCTGGCAACTCTGTTTGAAACCAGGTCAAGGGCAACACACTGTCAGATACTGTAGTTACTGCTGGCTTATACAATCACTTGATTGTAGTTGTCACAGAATAGTGAAGGCCCTATAAAATGAATCACAGAATGAATGCAGAAAGGGTTTCCTTCAGAATGAAATGGTTACAGGAGTATCCCCACCACCAAAAGAAGAAATGTTGCAAGAAAATGCATCCAGCTGGAATTTGGCCAGGCAAACTAGACCACCAACTGTACAGGATCAGGGAGGTCAATGGCTGACCAGTGCCAGCTGCAAAGTCAGCCAATAGCCCACCCTTTCCAGATGATGTCTCTTTGTTCTCCCAAGGTGAACAAAGCCTAGCAGAAAAAGAAATATACAGTTTCCCCTGCCCCAGCCTCCCCATTTCAAGCTTATCCCCATCTTCAAGGTGCTGATGCAACTTTCTATACCAGTGGGTCGCATTCAACTCAGTTTTACTCTGAGCAGAGTCACTGAAATTAATGGATCTTAGTTATGCTCAGTGCTATTTTTCTAGAAAAATTGGTGGCGGAACTCACCATGAATGCCTCCCTTGTTCTCTTATAATGGCAATGGTGCCCATCTGAGAGGTGCCAGAACTGAGCTCTGGTGAGCTCCAGCTGAAAAAAGTTCTGGTTATGCTCACTCATTTCAATGGGTTTACACTGAGTAGAACTCATCTGAATGCCATGCAGTGTTGGAAAAATAAATCTTGAAATTTGAAGTGGTTTTAAAAAATCTAATTGCATTTCTAAAATATAGAGTGAAAAATCAATTCATAGGAATAACATAGGAAGCTGCCTTGTACTGAGTCAGACCATTGGTCCATCTAACTCATTAGTGGCAGCAACACTTCAGGGTCTCAGACTAATCTTTAGCTGTCCTACCTAGAGATGCTAGGGATTGAAACTGGGACCTTCTACATGTAAAGCAGATGTTCTACCTTTGAACTACAGTCCTCCTCCAAAACCAGACTAGTCATAGGGTAGGTACTATGCCTATAGGAAACACAGGGACCTGCTTTGTATTGAGTCAGACCAGTAGAGTCTACACAGCCTGGCAGAGGCTATGCAGCAGGCTTCCTCAGTCTCGGCCCTCCAGATGTTTTGAGACTACAATTCTCATCATCCCAGACCACTGGTCCTGCTAGCTAGGGATCATGGGAGTTGTAGGCCAAAAACATCTGGAGGGCCGAGATTGAGGAAGCCTGCTGTGCAGGGTTTTGGTCAGCATTCTCTCCCAGGTAGGGATGGACAAATCTGTCTATTTCAGGTCTCTCTGTTTCTCATTTTTCTTAAAATTCAAATCTCCACAGTTCTGCAATAATTCTGAATTTTAGTTTAATAGACATCATCAAAATTTATCAGCATTGTAGTGCAAATGTTTCCGAATAAACAAATTTTTGCATGCAGCCTTGATTAATGCCCACAATTTTGCAAGCAATTTCCATAGCATAATGCATTTTTTAACACTATTTTCACATTAACTTTTTTGCACACTTTCCCCTGGCTGGCTGGAGAACTGCATCACAAAATATGAGAAAGTGCAAATTTCAAACGATGGCTTTGCTACAAGTCCCATGTTATATAAGAAAGCACAAATTTGATAGAGTCACAACTAAATGTAAACTAAATCAAATTTCTCCCCATCCCTACCTGGCGATGCTGGAACCTTCTGCATGAAAGGCAAATGTTCTCTACCACTGAGCTATGGCCTTTCAAGCTCAAGAATGCACAACAAGGTAATCAAAAGTGGGAGGCCAAACACAGATGTAGTACACAGCAACCAACATTGGGTTTGGATGTTGCAAGATTTACTAACAAGGAAGAGTGTTTGGGAGTTTCAAGGCAAGGTTGCCAAGGTTCAGGGTTTGACTTGAAGCTTTCTTATCAGGGTTTCCAACAGGCACCGACTTGTGCCCGACATTGGTGGGGCTGATGTCAAGCACATTGTGCGCTTGTACATGCTGTCATGCACATTACACATTGAATGCATGATGACTGTTGCATCAGGAAAGACCGACCAGACCTCCTCCCAATGCAACATTTGTCTGCCAGGTTGCACTGGTCTGCACAGCCTCTCCCAAAATTGCATGGCCCAGGACAGCATCCTGCCAGACTACGCAGCATCTCCCAATGCAGCAGGGCCAGGGGCAACTTCTTGCAAGGCGCAGAATGTTGGGAGACATCCAGCGGCCAGGGGTGGCCCTGCCAGGCTGCGTAGCATTGGGGGACACCACACTACCGTGTGGTGAACAGAACCCGCCTCCAACAGGCTCCTTGCCCGCTGCCTCCACCTGCCTGTCCACTAAGCCAACCCCCCTGCCATCACGCCTCAGTTACCAGGGCTCTGTGCCTGTTGTGGGGGCATCCGATTGCACCCCCCCAAAAATGTGCACTCTGAGCAATGCATCCCCACCACACTATGCCTTTGCCCCAGCTCTTTATCTCAAGCTGACAGTTCTCTGTTGAGAACTTCTGGCTCAGCCTCAGGACATAAGTATGCTAGTCAGGACTTCTGAGGTCACTGTTCTGTTTCACAAACCATCAGCCAGTGAATTTACATTTGAAAGTTGCTGTCATGCTGAAAAGCCTCTTCATCCCAACCACCAATTCTCTGTCTCTATATGATTCCAATACTACAGAATGTACGGCATGCAAATCCTCCTGTCCCCAAGAGAGAAATGCTTTAGGGATGTCAGACAGTAGATACTAAAACTTTTTAGGGTCTTTACGCTTAAGCGCATGCCCTTTTATAGTGTAAGAATGGGAATGGCAGAAAATGTTGATTTAGGCAGTCAGCTAGCTCTGAACTTGAGATACACATGTGAAACTGTAGGAAGTTTGAGATGAGCAAATCGACCCCTCATGTGCTTATCAAAGCTGCCCTTCCAAAAAACCTTGTGTCCAGTTTGTATAGTTCATGATGCAGGCCTCATGAAAAGCCTTTTTCAGTGCAAGAGTTTTGTTTATAACCAGTTGTTGTTGTTGTTGCTATTATTAATTTTAATATATTATTTATTTCTAAAAATATTTACATATCACCGTATCATAAAAAATATATCACAGTGGTTTAAAACAATACAGTGGTACCTCAGGTTAAGTACTTAATTCGTTCCGGAGGTCCGTTCTTAACCTGAAACTGTTCTTAACCTGAAGCACCACTTTAGCTAATGGGGCCTCCCGGTGCTGCTGTGCCGCTGGAGCACAATTTCTGTTCTCATCCTGAAGCAAAGTTCTTAACCTGAGGTACTATTTCTGAGTTAGTGGAGTCTGTAACCTGAAGCGTATGTAACTTGAAGCGTATGTAACCCGAGGTACAACTGTATAAAACTATAAAAGCATACAGTAAATCCTAAAAAGTTAAAAGCAAGCTAAAAGCAAAAGAATCAAAGCCAAACATCAATAGATCATTGTCACTTTTTACCAAGGTAACTCAAAGCAATTTACAATATATAAGCAAACAAACACATTAAAGCAGCTACACAAAGCAAAACATAAAAGACTATTCTAATTTTAAAAAATTGAATTGAATTATCCCATTCATTCAAAGCGAAAGGTAATTAAAAGCCAAATGCTCCCATAGATATGTAATGATGGTAAGCCTCCCTGGGGAGAACATTCCACAAGCAGGGAGCCACCACTGCAAAGGCCTGTTCTTGTGTTACCACCCTCCTGTGGAGAAGAAGAAGAAGACGAAGAGTTTGGATTTGATATCCTGCCTTTCACTCCCTTTAAGGAGTCTCAAAGCGGCTAACATTCTCCTTTCCCTTCCTCCCCCACAACAAACACTCTGTGAGGTGAGTGGGGCTGAGAGACTTCAGAGAAGTGTGACTGGCCCAAGGTTACCCAGCAGCTGCATGTGGAGGAGCGGAAACGCGAACCCGGTTCCCCAGATTACGAGACTACCGCTCTTAACCACTACACCACACTGGCTCTCAAATGGGCCTCAAATGATGGTCAGCCATGTAAAAAAAACCACAGAATATATGCTGACCCACTTGTATATGGTATTAGCATGCAAGCCTGTTGTTCTTCAGCCATGATGTCCAGATGTTTTTGAACTATAACTCCCATCTCCCTGACTATTGGCTAAGCCAGGGATAATGGGAGTTCTAGTCCAATGACATAAGGGGACAAAGATGGAAGAACACAGTTCTTCATATTATGTACTGTGTACTGTATTTGGGCATACGGTAACATCTCTTAGAGTAAATGAGACGAGTGGAAGTGAGGATCATGTCAATGAATAAGCAAGCTGTTTTAAAAGGAGTTGCAAAAAGTGGGAGAGTCCCACCCTCTAAATTACTGCAGCAGCAACAACAATGAAGCAAGATCAGTAGATTCTAGAGGTTTATAGGCGGTGGAGATTTCAGATGAGGGACAAATTTGATCCAGTCCACTTTTAAAGGTGAACCTAGTTAATTTCTCCTTTCAGGATCAATGTGTGAGCCAAAACAAAGCCGTACTTCAAATTTCGCACTTCACTGAATTTTTCAATGTAATTTCCCAGTCAACAATCTGTACATAAATGCATATATTGGAGTAAAGTGTATATAAAAATGCACAAAATGGTGCAAATAACAAAAGAAATGCATTATACCAGTGAAGTTTCCAATGCAAAAATGTGTATTTTGGGCAAAAGTGCAAAGAAAAAAGTATGTAGGAGTAAATGCTGATGAATTTTCATGATATTTTAAAAAGCAAAATGATGTGGAAATATAGGGAATTGAAGCCCGTTAAAAGAAAGAAAGAAAAGAAACTGAAATGGACAGATTTGTCCATCCCTAGTGAGGATACTCACAAAACAGAGGAAAAATGACTGTTGAAAGCACAGTTTCACCAATGCCACTGTGTCAAGCAAAAGTGAAGCTCTGTTCACGTGAGCAAGATGCACTATCAGAAGTTCAAGGACACATTCCACCCAAGGAAACCTTGCAGGCAAACGAACTCGCCAATAAAAATGTAGATTGGCTTGTTTCAGCATACACAGGCTAGTTGACAACATGTGTCCAAGGAAAACCATTGCACATAGCTGACAAATTGTGACCGAGTAACACTATGGACGCGGGTGGCGCTGTGGGTTATACCACAGAGCCTAGGACTTGCCGATCAGAAGGTCGGCGGTTCGAATTCCCACGATGGGGTGAGCTCCCTTTGCTCGGTCCCTGCTCCTGCCAACCTAGCAGTTCAAAAGCATGTCAAAGTTCAAGTAGATAAATAGGTACCGCTCCAGCGGGAAGGTAAATGGCGTTTCTATGTGCTGCTCTGGTTTGCCGGAAGCGGCTTAGTCATGCTGGCCACATGACCCGGAAGCTGTACGCCGCTTCCCTCATTCAATAAAGCGAGATGAGCCCCACAACCCCAGAGTCGGTCACGACTGGACCTAATGGTCGGGGTCCCTTTACCTTTTTAACACTATGGAATTTAGCCTTCCTCAACCTGATGCCCTCCAAATATTTTGGACTACAACCCCCATCAGCTACAAACAGGACAAAGAAGGAAATGCCTAAAGAACAAAACAGCAGTTCTTTCGACATTAGGCTGGGGTGGTGGTGCAAATAGAATATCAGCTAATCCCAACAACGAGGATCCTCTGCTGGGCGGCACTCAACTCAATCTATGGCTTTATTGAATTGTATTAATTATTTCGATGAATTTTTTTTATATTTTCTGATACACTCAATTACTATGACTTTATTGAATTATTTTATTTTATTACTAATTAGTTTAAATATCGCTCTTCATCAAAAGAACTGAGTGGTTCATGATAAAAACACAAGATAAAAAACAAATAAACAGTCAAAGAGAAGCAACAAAACAGTAACCACCCTTCCCATAAACACATTTAAAAGGCTGTAGAACATTAATCCGCCAAAGGCCTGGTTGAAGAGGAATGTTTTTGCCTGGCACCTAAAATATATATAAATATCAAATTATATCAAATTCCAGCAACGCAAATG